TGCACCAGCTTGCATTCCCACCAACAGTGTAGGAGGGTTCCCCTTTCTCCACATCCCCGCCAACATCTGTCGTTCCCTGACTTGTTAATTTTAGCCATTCTGACGGGTGTGAGGTGGTATCTCATTGAGGTTTTGATTTGGATTTCCCTGATGCCGAGTGATGTTGAGCACTTTTTCATGTGCCTGTTGGCCATTTGGATGTCTTCTTTGGAGAAATGTCTGTTCATGTCTTCTGCCCATTTCTTGATTGGATTATTTGTTCTTTGGGTGTTCAGTTTGATAAGTTCTTTATAGATTTTGGATACTAGCCCTTTATCTGATATGTCGTTTGCAAATATTTTCTCCCATTCTGTCGGTTGTCTTTTGGTTTTGTGGACTGTTTCTTTTGCTGTGCAAAAGCTTTTTATCTTGATGAAATCCCAATAGTTCATTTTTGCCCTGGCTTCCCGTGCCTTTGGCGATGTTTCTATGAAGAAGTTGCTGCGGCTAAGGTCGAAAAGGTTGCTACCTGTGTTCTCCTTTAGGATTTGGATGGACTCCTGTCTCACGTTTAGGTCTTTCAACCATTTGGAGTCTATTTTTGTGTGTGGTGTAAGGAAATGGTCCAGTTTCATTCTTCTGCATGTGGCTGTCCAATTTTCCCAACATCATTTGTTGAAGAGACTGTCTTTTTGCCATTGGACGTTCTTTCCTGCTTTGTCAAAAATAAGTTGACCATAGAGTTGAGGGTCCATTTCTGGGCTCTCGATTCTGTTCCATTGATCTATGTGTCTGTTTTTGTGCCAGTACCATACTGTCTTGATGATGACAGCTTTGTAATAGAGCTGGAAGTCCGGAATTGTGATGCCGCCAGCTTTGCTTTTCTTTTTCAGTATTCCTCTGGCTATTCGGGGTCTCTTCTGGTTCCATACAAATTTTAGGATTATTTGTTCCATTTCTTTGAAAAAAGTGGATGGTATTTTGATGGGGATTGCATTGAATGTGTAGATTGCTCTAGGTAGCATTGACATCTTCACAATGTTGATTCTCCCAATCCATGAGCATGGAACGTTTTTCCATTTCTTTGTGTCTTCTTCAATTTCTTTCATGAGTATTTTATAGTTTTCTGAGTACAGATCCTTTGCCTCTTTGGTTAGATTTATTCCTAGGTATCTAATGGTTTTGGGTGCAATTGTAAATGGGATAGACTCCTTGATTTGTCTCTCTTCTGTCTTGTTGTTGGTGTATAGGAATGCCACTGATTTCTGTGCATTGATTTTATATCCTGCTACTTGACTGAATTCCTGTATGAGTTCTAGCAGTTTTGGGGTGGAGTCTTTTGGGTTTTCCACGTACAGTATCATATCATCTGCAAAGAGTGAGAGTTTGACTTCCTCTTTGCCGATTTGGATGCCTTTGATTTCTTTTTGTTGTCTGATTGCTGTGGCTAGGACTTCTAATACTATGTTGAATAGCAGTGGTGAGAGTGGACATCCCTGCCGCGTTCCTGACCTTAGGGGAAAGGCTCTCAGCCTTTCCCCATTGAGAATGATACTCGCTGTAGGTTTTTCATAGATGGCTTTTATGATATTGAGGTATGTACCCTCTATCCCTATACTCTGAAGAGTTTTGATCAAGAAAGGATGCTGTACTTTGTCAAATGCTTTTTCTGCATCTATTGAGAGGATCATATGATTCTTGTTCTTTCTTTTGTTAATGTATTGTATCACGTTGATTGATTTGCGGATGTTGAACCAGCCTTGCAGCCCAGGAATAAATCCCACTTGGTCATGGTGAATAATCCTTTTAATGTACTGTTGGATCCTATTGGCTAGTATTTTGGTGAGAATTTTTGCATCCATGTTCATCAAGGATATTGGTCTGTAATTCTCTTTTTTGGTGGGGTCTTTGTCTGGTTTTGGGATCAAGGTAATGCTGGCCTCATAAAATGAGTTTGGAAGTTTCCCTTCCATTTCTATTTTTTGGAACAGTTTCAGGAGAATAGGTATTAATTCTTCTTGAAATGTCTGATAGAATTCCCCTGGGAAGCCATCTGGCCCTGGGCTTTTGTTTGTTGGGAGATTTTTGATGACTGTTTCAATTTCCTTAGTGGTTATAGGTCTGTTCAGGTTTTCTATTTCTTCCTGGTTCAATTTTGGTAGTTGATACATCTCTAGGAATGCACCCATTTCTTCCAGGTTCTCTAATTTGCTGGCATAGAGTTGCTCATAATATGTTCTTATAATTGTTTGTATTTCTTTGGTGTTGGTTGTGATCTCTCCTCTTTCATTCATGATTTTGTTGATTTGGGTCATTTCTCTTTTCTTTTTGATCAGTCTGGCCAGGGGTTTATCAATCTTGTTAATTCTTTCAAAGAACCAGCTCCTAGTTTCGTTGATCTGTTCTACTGTTCTTTTGGTTTCTAGTTCATTGATTTCTGCTCTGATCTTTATGATTTCTCTTCTCCTGCTGGGTTTAGGCTTTATTTGCTGTTCTTTCTCCAGCTCCTTTAGGTGTAGGGAAAAACCCTTAAGCATCCTTCTTGATGGCACGCAGTGTTGTCATTCTGTGGAGTCAAGCGTATCCAGCAAGTGTTTGCTGAGTATTCACTATGTGCTGCAGACTGGGTTCTATTGCAAACAAAACACAAGGGGTCCCTGCCTTCATAGAAATGACAGTCAAGCAAAGATACTATTGTTTGCTTACCATTTCCCTAGAATTAGACATTAAGATTATTTCCAGTTTATTGCTACTGTAAATAGTGCTGAGATGAGAAACTTAGAATATTGGCTAAGAGAATAGGTTTTGGAGTCAAATACAAGTCAGGATTCTGCCTCTCTTATTGGAGACATGCTTTAACCTCTCAGAGCCTTAGCCTCAGCCTCCCCATCTGGTCTCTGGGGATAATAGTATCTACGTTAGAGACTTGTTGCATAGATTAAATGAAATAATGCATGTAAAACACTTTTCACAGTGTACCAAGAGCTCAGTTATTCTTGGTAATAGTAGTAATAGCAGTAGAAGTATATTCCCATTGTGCATGAAGCCTAATTGGCATTTTGGTTTATCTTAATTTGTTGTAAATATATATATAGTGAGAGAGAGAGAGAGAGAGAGAAAGCCTCTCCCATTTAATACCAAATGAAAGAAGCTGTTAATCGCATATTGTTATAGGTGAATCTTTGTGTAAAAAATCCCTAAAATTTTCCACTGAGAATATGGTGGTCCAGAATAGACTTAGTAAAGTGGTGCAATGAGTGGTAATACTATCTAGGGGAATTTACAAAATGTCTCATAGTAATGATGGAATACTAACTTAGAATGACTTTTTCAGCATGCAACTGCCATGGTCACGCCTTCGACTGTTACTATGATCCAGATGTTGAGAGGCAGCAGGCCAGCTTGAATATCCACGGCATCTATGCGGGTGGAGGGGTCTGCATTAATTGTCAGGTGAGTTACAATTTAGGTTAAAGTGGATATGTCACTGTAGGAAAGGAGCATTCATTAAGCCAGGCTCCCAGAGAGATATCAATAAAGTGATATGCAATTGAAAGTATTTTCTATAAACATTTCTCTACTTTTATACACAAAAGTCCTTGTTAGCTGGATATAATTTTGGGGTTATATGGAAAATGGACTGAGACAGGTTTGTCCAAATTTTATTGATTAGATTCTTCATTTAGGTCTTTGCCTAAATAGGGAGGAGAATTGCCGGCTGTCACCATGGATGCTATCCATCTTGTGGTAGGAAGGGTCTGAGATAGTAGGGCAAATAGGTGTCAACTTCTGTGCTGATCCTAAATCCTGTTTTCAGACAGATTCTGAATCTAGACACCATGAGGAAGAACATCATGATCAATTAATGAAGTCTGCCATTGACACTTAATAAGAAACACTGATTTTTCATCCCTTCTGTAGGACAGTTGGGTTCACTAGAAATTAGCCAAGAGGAACGTATGGTAGAGGAAGATATAATGTTCATGAATTTGGTCCATATTATCACTTTGTGTTGTGTGCTTTTAAAGTGATGTTTTGTTAATGTTGCCTTTAAAAAGGTACTCTTTTCATGAGATGTCCATTTATATGGAACCAGGGCCACAACTCCTTAGGGACCCACCATCCTGCACCTTTCTCCCACTCCATTTTGTATCATTTGTCAATGCAGGTAATTAACTACAAGTAAAATATAAGTCATAAGTTTCTTACAAATGATAGATTTTTTGCACAAATGAAAGATCCCAGGATCTTCTTAAGACTGTGCTCTTTAAGACCCTCAGGTGATTCACTGGCACATTAAAGTTGCAGAAGCACTGGACTGGGATGTGTAGATAGAATCCTTTCTCCAGATGAAGGAGTATGCCACTTCCATATGTCTTTAGAACACCTTGTTCTTCCTCTTCCTTCTCTCAGAGATATTCTGTTTTGTACCTTGCTGTTCCAGAAAACCATCAGTATAGTCCTTTTTTTCATAGTGGCTCTGCGAAAGCATTTTTCTTTTGCGTAAGAAATTATTGAAATTTGCTTAGGTTCATTGCATTTTTTTCCAACTTAAACTTAAAATGCCTTGTTTAAGTTAGATACTTAGCATAAGTAACTTAAATTTTTTTATTGTGGTGAAATATACATAACATAAAATCTACCATTTTAGCCATTGTAAGTATATATCTCTGCATAATTAACTTTTATATTATATTTATAATCCATGAACAAGTAGAGAATTCTGCCTTTGTTATGGATTAGTACCTCCAACAGGACCCAAAGTTTCCACAGATAATAACTATAAACTATAGACAAAATACAAAAACAAAAAAACAGGAAGTCCCTTTTCCCCCAACCAGTGATCTGAAGACAGTGGGGAGTACATATGAGCAGGAAGGTACTGGAGGGAAGCTGCTGCTTGGCAAAAAGGATCAGTGTAGGGTGAGCTACATATATTTTTGACATTTAGCCAGAGGACAGACCGAAGTTGATGCCTTGTGGTGTAGCTAAAATTCCTCTAGAAAATCTAGAGTCCTTCTGCCCTGAAGTACAAGAGTGCAGACCTTGGATGGAACAACGACAGTTTTTGGAAAGTGACTGGGGAGTCCAGGAAAAAAGAAATCAAGAGAGAAAAGAATCTCTGATTCTGTGTATAGAATCATCCCAAGTTTCTCACTGACCCCTGAGCCATCTATGCACAGAAAGGCTTTCAGCTAAGAGTAAAATAATTTATTTGAGATTTGAATTAGCACACAAAGAGTTACAGTTTTCAGTTTGGGAAAAGTCAAGTTAATTATGTCACAAAACAAAACAAATTCAATATTCTTTAGAGAAATATTACAGAACCCAGAGTCTCTACAATGTAATATTTATTATGTCCAGGATACAAGCCAAAATTTTTTGACACTTGAAGAACCAAAAATTGTGACCCATTCTCAGGAAAAAAAATAATCAATAGAGACAATCCTGAAATGATCCAGATGTTGAAATGAGCAGTTAAAGATTTTAGAGCTGCTATTATAACTTTGCTTAAGAATATATATAAAAATATGTTCACAATGAATGAAAAGATAAGAAGTATCAGGAGAGAACTAGAAACTATAAAAGGAACTTAATGAAAATTCTAGAACTAAAACATAGAATATGTTAGATTATGGATGGGGCTAATATCAGAATGGAGGTAATAGAAGAAAGATTCAGTAAATTTGAAGACATATCAATAGATATTATCCAGTCTTAAGAAAAGAAAGAAAAAGATTTTTAAAAAAAATTAATTAACAGAAACTTACAGACTTGTGGGACAATATCAGATCTAACATATATGTAATTGGAGTCCCAGAAGAGAGGAGAGAGAATGTAGCAAAAAAGGAAGAAAAGGAAGAAAGAGAGGAGGAGGAGCAGGAGAAGAAGCAGCAGAAGCAGCATCAGCAGTGGTGATGGTAGCAGGAATGGCAAGAAATTTCTCAAATTTTTCAGTAGATTAGGATTCAAGAAACTTAGTGACTCCCAAGCCAGATAAATACAAGGAAAACCACTCCTGGGCCTAGCAGAGTCAAACTGCTGAACACCAAAGAAAAAGTGAAAATCTTGAAAGTAGAGAAAAACAACACATCACAATGACTGTGAAGTTCTTATTAGAAATGTGGAGGCCACAAGACAGTGGTAAATACCTTAAATGTGCTAACCAAAAAAAGAAGGAACTGTTAACCAAGATTTCTATATTTAACAAAAATGTTCTTCAACAAGAAAAGCAAAAGGGCAAATATTTCTGATAAAATAAAACTGAAAGAATTTGTTACTTGAGAGATTAGCACTATCAGAAATGGTAAAGGGAATTCTTCAGGTTATAGAGAAATGATACCAGATGGAAACTCAGATCTTCAGCAATATAGCCTAAGGATAGTATATTAAGATGAGTAAGATTTATCCCAGGAAAGCAAGGTTGATTGAACATTCAAAAATCAATCTGTAGGCTGAGGAAAATGGTGGAGTAGGAGGACCCTAGCCTCACCTCAACCCATGGATATAACTAGAGAACACTCACAGCAGCGTAAATAACTCAGAAAACAACCTGAAGACTGGCAGAATAAACTCCACAACTCAGTGTAGAGAAGAGGTCACACTCAAAAGGGTAGGAAGGGCAGAGATAGGGAGCTAAATGGACTCACAGGACTGTCAGTTGGGGGAGGGGCATAGGGACACCTGAATCCCCTTTAACGTTTGGCTTTGAAAACCAGAGAGGCTGGATTTCATGAGTTCTTACAATCAGCAGGGCTTAAAGCCTGGACTTTAAAAAAAATCGCCCAGTAGGCTCTGTTCTGGGAGTGCCAGGGGCAAGAGGAAACCGAATCCCTGCCCTTAAAGAGACAGCACAACAAACAGTCTGTGGAGATACAGCAGAGAAGCAGCAGTTTGAAAGGAGCCTGGGGGACATGGGAGGGAGAGTGATTTACTCATCTCAGAGCCTGTCCAGGAGGCAACAGAAATCACTGGGGAAATCCTCCACGAACAAAGAAATTGGCAGACACCATTTTTCTCCCTTGCCCCCCAGTGTAAACACATGGGCACCAGAGGGACTGGCTACCTATCTTGTGAGCACTGTTGCCCCACCCGCATTCACTGTGCTTCCACCAATCCACCCCTCTGGATAGCCCACCTCAGTCTGGCATGGCAGGGCCCCTCTTGCACCAGATGTGGATGCAAGGCTTGCTGGCACCACCACCTGGCTGCCACACCCACCCTGTACTGTGCTTCCAAGGATCCACTCCTTTGGATGGTGGCTCAGTTCCAGTGCTGCTGGGCCCCTCCTCTAGAGGACAGAGGGGCACAAAGCTTACTGGCACTATAACTCCTGCACCCCCAACCCCACACTTGGCTTCCATGGAGCCAGACGGGCTGCTTTAGTCCCGATGCTGCAGGGTCCCTCTCATGGCATGCAAAGCTTGCTAGCACTGCCTCCACACTGTGCTTTGGGGGATCCACCTCCTCCAATATGCTGTTGGCCAGAGGCCGTACAGGATGGTGCTGTAGGCTTGGCAGTATGTAAACAGCCCCTACAATGGCCAGCACCACTCCGAAGTGATTCTTGCCCTGGAGAGGGGGAAAGATAACTGCACAGACCAGTCAGATGGAGGCCCCAACAGTTGGCCGAGGGCAGACACCTGCTCTGATTGCAGGCCCTGCCCACCAACGAAAGCTTCTCAGGGGACAATACAGGGAAGGCACCCTGCAGTTTGGTGCTACTGCATCTCTGGCAAATGCCTAGTCTGACTAAACTCAAGGTCAGGGTGGCCCCAGACTGACCCCCTAACCCACTAAGACAAAGCACTGCCCAAAAGAGCAAAGAGATCCACTGCAGATGCCTGGGCTGAAGGAAAAAGCAACTCAGCCACAATAGCAGGGTGCATGCATCACACATAGGAGATACCCATGCAGTGCCAGGTTCAGGTGAAAGGGGGGACACTGCATTGCAGGGCACTACAGAACCTCTTCTTCATAAGGCCATTACTTCAAGTGCAGAAGTAGCTGACTTTCCTAACACACAGAAATAGAGAGAGTTCGACAAAATGAAGAGACAGAGGAATATGTGCTAAATGAAAGAGCAGGACAAAACCACAGCAAGAGACCTAAGCAAAATGGATATAAGTAATATGGTGGATAGAGAATTTAAAGCAATGATCATGAAGATGCTCACAGGACTTGAGAAAAGAGTGGAGGACATTAGTGAGACACTTAAGAAAGAGACGGAAGAAATAAAAAAGAACCAATCAGAGATGAAGAACATAATAAATAAAATTAAAAATACACTACATGGAACAAATAGCAGGCTAGAGGAAGCAGAGGAATGAATTAATGACCTGGAAGACAGAGTAATGGAAATTAATCAAGCTGAGCAAATGAGAAAAACAAGAATTATGCAAAATGAGAATAGACTTGGGGCACCTAGGTAGCTCAGTTGTTGAGCGTCTGCT